AATTTTCAAACTAAACCACAGAATTCTTGTCCTGCATGCATATTTGTTGTTTTGAGTATGTAGGTATCGAGTTGTTTGTTTACTCACAGTTGTGTATGTTTTCCTGGCATGTTCTGATGCATTAGTGCACATTAATGCTGTTACACTTATCGGTCTTCGCACATTAACCCTTGTCCTCTGTATGTGTGTGCGCATGTGTGTTTAGGAGAAAGATTGCCTGGATTTCACCCTGTCTTGTGCCGGCTGATGGTTCAGTGGGCAGAAGTAGGGGATTGTGGGGAGGTTGGTAAGACTCAGGCGGGTGTTCTGGGGCACACTGATAAGTTCCTGTAGGTGGCGTCACATTGGCTCCACATGCTCTCGTTCTGCATGCTGCCTGAATGACTGCTGCTGCCAGAGCTAATAGTGCTGATGCTCGACCGCTGATGTTTTACAGCATCAGCACATGATCAGCACTGCTCCTCCTCCTCCCATTCTGACCACCAACCACTATTTCATGTTTCGTTTGTGTATATATGCGTTTTGACTTTGATTGATTTAGTCTGTCTGGTTAAGCTGTAGTATCATGCCATGGGCCAAAATCTTAAAGGGATAATGCATTTAAACATACAAAAAGCAATTATTTATACCCTCACGTCATTCTAAACCTTTATGACTTCTGTGCGTGACAAAAGGAGATATTAAGCAGAATGTCCAAGCTGTTGTATTCCATACAACGAATGCATGCTGGAGCTTCACAGCCCCTGTTCCCTGTAAAATTATCATTAAAATCAGTTCAGTAAGTCAATATGATCTATATTTTGAGGCCATGTAGCTTTGTGTGAAGAACAAGAACAAATATCTTATTCACACTATTTTTATAAGCAGTTAAGATCATATTACTATTCATTACAATATGCTTCTTTGATAACACGCTGTCATATGAGAATACAGTCAGTAAACACCAATAGACTGATGTAAGACATATTCTGGTTATTTCAAATTGGGCGTAACAGAAAATGTTGTGGTTCAGTAACAGAGAGAGAGAGTCTGATTCAAACCATTCGCTAGGCTGTTTGAAACCGTTTTGTGAATCTTTTTGGATGATTTATTAAACGAACTGTGTCTGAAGCTTGGGAAGCTCCGCTAAGTTTTCCTGTCTTGACACAAAAACAATACAATTTTTATGATGTAATTGTTTTTTTCTTCTTTTTTTTTTTTTAAGCGAGATAGCCTGAAGATGGCTAAAAGCGGTCACAAATTACAGCTAGTCATCTATTAGTGTACCTGTTCATATCTATAATCTATACCTCATCACTCATCTTCCCGCAGGCAGTCTGAGTCGGTTGGGTTGCGTGTGTTGTGGCAGCTGATATGATGTCCAGTGTTGCCAGATTGGCTCAATGATTTTAAGCACAAAAGAGAAAGGAAAAACCCACACAAAACATCAAATTTTACCTCCTTAAAACTAAACAATCAATGAATTAAGGAACACAGATTGGCAAACATAAACATGGTAAATACAGTAAAATAATAAAGTCATTATTTATTATTAATGTATTTACAGTAAAAAAAAATATTTCAAGGTAGAAATTGTCAAATATTTGCAAACGGTAGTCAAGAAATTAACACGCATTACATATCATTTTCAATATCAACTGCAAAAACAAGCCAATAATTTCAGACAAAAAAAGCCCATTATATGTGATTGGGAAATAATCGATGTAATTAGTTTTCGGGTTGACAGTAACACGCTTATCTTACACCATAACAGCTGGACATGTGTGTTTAGTGACGTCATGATTACTGATTGGATATAGAGTACATGCACACTTGGGTTTTAATTAATTTTTTATTTGCCCATAAAATGTAAATGTTAAAAGCTGCCAAATTCTGTCCACCCACCCAAACCAATTTTGACCTGCACAATTAAATTCAAAACCACCCAATCTGGCAACGCTGATGTCAGAGCCATGGGGGCGTGGCTTCTGACTGTTCCACCCATGAGGAGGTGCCAAGTTTGAATGTTTACAAACAGCAGCTAAAAATTCCTGCATAGTGCACCTTTAAGAATCACATTTGCTTGAATTGGACACGCATGGCTCGTGTGGTGCTTGTTGTTGCGTGCGGCAGGAGACACTGGTGTGCGGTGAATATCTGTGTTTTGTCTCGTTCTATTGAGTCACATTCTAGAGCCCTGTTTTTTGTCGTTTGTGGAATATGGCAGCCCATCTACTTAGAGCAGCTCGAAGTACTGCTAAACATCTCCTTTAGTGTATGGAAGAAAACAATGTCAATAAGTTTTAAACAACATGAGGGTGAATAGATAATAGTAGATTATTTGTATTTTTCAGTGAATTACCCTTTAAGATGGTATTGTGTGTAATCCGTACTGATTTGACTCCTTATCTGTAAGTCTTGTGATTTTGCTGTTGTTAGTTTCCTCTGTCCTCTCCCAGCAGAATTTATATGAGCACCTCAGTATGACTCAGCTGGTCATATTCAGTTCTGTATAGCAGCAGAAGGAGAATCATCATCTGCATGAGTCATCAGTGACGCTGATATCTGATTGACTATGGCTTTACTGCTCAGATATTCCTTTTAAACCACATCAAAATACTTCTACTTCCACTCTTTCTAACTTGAGTCTACTTCCTTTTTTTTGTCTTTGTCACACCCATTTCCTTATCCCTGGTTCTTCATTTCTGTCATAACCCTCTGCATCTTTCCCATCTCCCTCCACAGTGCACACAGGGAACCAAAGGTCTGCTGGAGACGGCCTCTCGATCTCCTCTCCTCACAAGCTCCTGTCCGCAGGCCAAACCTCAAGCCGTCTTGGAGCCTCTACCAGAGATCGTCCCGGAGCCGCCCAAGACCCCTCACAAACATCACTCCCACCACAGATCCAAGGCAAAACAAAGCGCTCATCACACCCCCAAGACCTCCAACTCCTCTCCAAGACCCTATCACAGCCACAGTTCAAGACGGAAAGACTCCAAGAACAGAGACCCAAAATTCAGTTCTCTGCGCTGAGCAGTCGGACTCTGTCAACCAGCATATTGATGCGTTTCTTGGATTATTTGAATTTGTCCTCATGAGATTGATTGATTCATATGTTTCCAGATCCAGGTTTAGTAAACTGGCGGCTGTATTATCAACCTGGAGAGCAAGTGTGAAGGATGGACTTCCATTAACAGATTGATGACTGGAAAACTGTGTAAAGTGTTTCCATAAAGACAAGCACAAAGGTCTCAAAAGTGAACTGCAGAGCAATTGCCTTTAAGACAATTGTCAATCTTAACAGTGAGTTCCAAAATGAGCTTCATCAGAACAGCAATAATGGAACAAGCACACTGGCGTCCTCGATCTGGACTTGAACTCTGGGATACATTTCTCTGGCCTCTTTTAGGTCTGTTGGAGATGCATCGGTCAAGCTTCAATAAGCAAAGAACCAATCTTCTTTATGCAAAAAACAAGAGCATGCCTGGAGAATATAGCTCACAATCATTCTTCATCCATCATAGGGTTGCATGTTGAATCGTATTTTAATCGTGATCACGATTTCTGATTCTCTAGATTTTTTTTAAAGCATTTTTTAAAAGTCTGTGATATTTGCCCACTGGTAATTTGAGTTTATTTAGTCATTTGCGTTACCTTGCATTGGTATCAAGCCTCCACAAGCATTCGTGGTTGCGGTTGCCAGATGTCAAGAGTTCAAATCCCCCCAATGATAGCTATTTTTTCATGAATTGATAAATCTTCTTCTCAGCTGGTTTGCTTAGTGTTGCCAACTTAGTGACTTTATTGCTATATTTAGCAACTTTTCTGACCTTAGCCTTTTTTGTTTATTTTTATTTTTTAAGTGACCAACAACAAATCTAGCGACTTTTTGGACAATCTTTAGCTACTTTCCACTGAAAATAGTGGGCAACACTTATCTTCCCAACCTGGCAACCATTTGCACACGCTCTTTCTGCATTATAGAAAAAGCGCAGATGAGCGGAAAACACCGGCAAACATGTAAATAGGAGTTTAGGGATCTCTTTTGAGAGATTCTGCTCAAATTAAAATGTAATACAGCCAGTCTGTTTTCTTTCACCCAATCATTTGCGCTGTTGACTAAATCAAGTAAACCACATGAGTTGACATTCTCTTGATTTGTGCTTAAGTGAAAGTGCAATAATTCTGATGAAATGTAAAGAAGAGAAAATGACAAAAATCGTGAGTAGTGATCAACCGTTTAACCACTATCATGCAGCCCTGATCCATCATGTTGAACAAGAATCTACTCACCAGTAATTCATTATATTCTCAAAGGACTTCAGCATGATTTTGTAACATATTGTGTTTGAACATGGTATTAAGTGTGCACAAGTACTTGCTAATGTGGATGAGATGATGCCTCCAAGTCCCCTGATCACCGTGTTGAAGATCTAGTTGAAAAGTTAACCGGTTAATCTGAGTGTTTCTCTCTAAACCTCATCACGTCTGCTGTTCTTCACATTGCATTCCTGACACACTGCTGTCTATCAGTAATTAGTAATGGAACAGTCTTAATGCACTAACTCTCAATGCAGCAATACTGCAATGTTTTAGTTCTTGTATGCGTGGACACTTTGTGTTTGAATGAACGGGGATGTGGGTGTTGTGTTGTTATCCAGGTTTTTACTTAATATGCAAACTGAATGTTATTTATGAATGCTGAAATCGCTCCTCTGTTTCTCAAGACCTCTGCAACATTTGCACAAATAAATACAAAGAACTAACAGGCTAGCCTGGAGTTTGTCATACATTCTGCTGCCTCATAAACGTCAGCCATGGAGTTCGCATTCTTTTCAGTGTACAGAATATTTGTGAAGCTTATTACCACGTGAGAGGAAATATCACTTGGCAATTCAGATATTTAGGATTCATGGATTTAAAAGTGTACTAGACCTGTGATCAGAACAGAATACTAGCTTGCTGCATACTAACCCTTGTGAAAAAGAAGTGCACTTAAGCATACTTTTAAAAAGAGTATTACAGAAAAAAAAAAAACTCTGTGTTTGGCGTTTTTGCACAATAAAATCTGTACTGTTTAAATTGTTCATTGATCTGGTTTGAATAGAATTTGTATTGTAATCAGGAACAACTTCATTATGTTACTATTAGGTAATCATAAAAAAATATATATTATTTGAAGTAACTGCGCCGAAATTGAAAGCATGCATTGCACTGGGCGATATAGTGTGATTTTACACATTTGTAATGAAGAAGTTGCAATTCAGGACATTTAAAAAATAATTAACATTTATATTAACTTAAAATGTAATACTGAATAGCACACTATAGTTAAAATTGTAATGCAGTGCTTTAGTATGTTAGTCAACATCAAAATAAGTGCATTTATTTAAAGCATGACAAAAGATTATTAAAATGTGATATAAAATAAAACAAAACTTTTTATTTGACAGTTACAAAGTGCAATTTTTAAAAGTGTACTTAAGTCATGAACATGAACCCTCTTTACATTTAAGTGCATTTATGCCCTTTTATTTCATTAATAAGTTATCTCTTATCTGCAAGTATGTTTTTTTTTTAAATATACTTCTAAGATTTGAAGTACACTACAAGTGCACATTCAATACAATTACGCACACTTCTTTTTCACAAGGGGTGTGCTGTGTAATATTTTACTGCCTATAACCCAGGGGTGTCAAACTCAGTTCCAGGAGGGCCGGAGCCCTGCAGAGTTTAGTTCCAGCCCTGCTCCAACACACACACACACCATGTAGTTTTCAAAAGTTTGTGGAAGTCGTGGCCTAATGGTTAGAGAGTTGGACTTGTAACCCAAAGGTTGCGGGTTCGAGTCTCGTACCGGCAGGGATTGTAGGTGGAGGGAGTGAATGTACAGCGCTCTCTTCCACCTTCAATACCACGACTGAGGTGCCCTTGAGCAAGGCACCGAACCCCTAACTGCTCCCCGGGCGCCGCAGCATAAATGGCTGCCCACTGCTCCGGGTGTGTGTTCACTGCTGTGTGTGTGCACTTAGGATGGGTTAAATGCAGAGCACTAATTCCGAGTATGGGTCACCATACTTGGCCACATGTCACATCACATTTTTTTAAATTTTTTTATTAAATAAGCCTGAAGGACTTGATTAATTGGATTAATTGAATATTTTCTTGTACGTCACATCCGTGCATGACCGCTAGATGGCGCCAGAATCTACCAAATCCAGCTGGAGGACTTGAATTTAAGTTCATGAGATGTGAGTTCCAAGAAAAAAGTTTGGTCCATGTGCAACTTCTCTGGAGACCGTTCTGTTGGAATGCAGCACTGGAATGTTTATTTATAGTTGCTCTGTTTGCTAACCTCATATCAGCAGTGAGTGAGGACATATTTGATGTTATTTATATCATTAAATCACTGCATACCATAAATAAAAACTCCCCACTAATAGTTTCTAAAATCAAAATGTTTTTATTAGCTTCTGGAACTGATCTGAGACATTTTCATGTTTTTTTCCAGTGTTTTCCCACAGATCTGAAAAGTGGTTTTAAGTATTACTCACATAACAGCGGTGATGTGCTTCTCCACAATCGATTCTGTCTACAGTTTAGAGATTTTCTGTATAGAATACATGAAAGACCTCTGCGTCTGACAGAATACTGAAGGCAATGCACTCGACCATTTCCAGTGTCATACAATAATCTAGAAGCAATTGCATCTGTGATTTTAACACCTCTGGCTCATTATTTGATCTTACCAACTGACATTAAGATTATTCTACACAAAATTGTATTGATAACTGCTTTTATTCCTTCCTCTTTGAATTGAGCACACTGTAAAAAAAAAAACGGTGACATTTACGGTAAAATACCGGCAGCTGTGGTTGCCAGGACTTCACCGTAAAAAATATGGTAGCAAGTTAGCAACATTTTAGGTTTTACGGACTTAACTTAAATTCAAAATAAAATACCATATTTCATTAACTGATGTAATGTTAATAAACCAGCATATTGAAGTGTTAATATCTGTTTTAAACCATTGTAATGCACTGATAACCGTGGTGATGAGAAAGTCACATGATGAACCAAAGCTCATCAAAAAAAGCTTTTCTACGAGCTGAGGAGGGCAATACTTATATATAGAAGGTGCACAGTGTCATTCACACAAACACTAAACCCCATCACGGTGACACGTGATACTGAAATAATGCAATAAACATTTATTTAACAACATTAGATGTAAGATTAAACCCTAATGTACACAACTGATAAGAACAAACTAATTAGAAACATGTTTTTTCAACAAAAAACATCAGATATGAAGTGTCATGCAGGGAATTCTGGGAGTGTCAATTTATGGTTTTTCACTGTAAATTATACAATGACTTTTCTTTTTCACTTTCAAAAAACGTATTTTTAACAGTATTTTACTGTAAAATTAAATGTAATTCACCGAATATAGTATGGAAACTTACTGTTAACCAGTTAACAGGTTTTTACGGTAGCATTTTTACAGTCTTTTACTGTTAAAATCACAATCATTTTTTACAGTGCATGTAATGATGTCATGTGGTGATGTAACAGTGTCATTTCAATCAGTGTTGCATTCAGTTTTAAATAAACAGCATTTAGTGTATAAGCCTGTCCATTCTGAATGCAGGCACTTCATGATAATCACTTCAGCGAGCGATGCAACATTGTAAACACTTTTTTTTTCTGTAACTGTAGTGGAGAGCAGCAATAGCTGTCAAAACAACAAGTCCTTATTCATGCATGCAGATAATTCAAACATATTATCACATGATTTGAGCTGTTCTACTGCTTTAGGTACGTCTGTCAGTCACAATTTGTTCACTTCATTTGATTGAAGTGAAATTAAATCAAAGATGGAAATGCATTAAGCTTCTGCAGCTATTTTTGAAGAAACAAGACCATGCAGTCGGTGTTTTAAAGAGATGAATTGGGCTCTATAAAAGATTATCAGAAGTTGTAAAGTTCACTCTCTGGCTGTGATCAGAACAAAATACTAGCATACTGCTTACTGCACAGTATAGAGTAAAACGGGATAAGATGCCCCCCAAATTTATTCTCAACAATAGACGGTACAAAATCTCATCTCAGCCCTTTTGATAAATGGCTATGCTATTTTTAATTTTGTCATTTCATCTGAATATCAACATTTGTGAGAATTAGTCAGCCGAAGCAGTTCTGAGGTTAATTAATCTAATTTTGTGTCTCTGGAAAATAGTGATCTATGATGTTGTATTATGTCAAAGTTTTATCAAATATCGAATATCTTATATATCGAATATACGTTTGTTTGTTTTTTGCGACTATTTTCTAATAAAGGATTTGTGCACATGCACATGTTTTAGATGTGAGGAGTGAAAATGAGTAAAATTAGACCTTTACTAGTTACTAGTGTTACTTCTTGCCCAAGGTAGGGGCCATCTTACCCTCCTTAACTGTACATTAAAATATCAAATGTTTATATTTATTTCCCTTAATAACACATTGGCTGATGCATGCTAAACTTGCATATCTAAATATGTTACAATTTAAAAGTAAATACACATTGTTCTTAATGGGGCATCCTCCCCCATCTTAACCTATAGCTACTTGTAAGGGAAACAGGTCAATTTAGCTCAAAGGGAATCATTTAAGATTTTAAAGGGAATTTGGACAAATAACAAAACAAAACAAAAAAACAAAGCTGCTGTGGGTTTTCGCATGGCTTACAACTACTGTTGAGCTAGGATGTCATGTGCAGCTAGTGTGTCATGTACCTTAACTTAGTGTCAGGTGTTCTACCTATTGTGAGGATGGCCGCATGTTTCTTCATGGTGGGCATATGTAACTTTATGTTACACAAAAATTTGGATATTCTACTTGTGGGAATATGTTTTGTTGAATGTGTTATCAGTAGATGTGGTTACCTCTGGGTGTAGGTAATGTTGTGTGTGTTAATGGTGTAGTGTATGTGTGGTCAGATCTGTTTCAGTCTGTGTT